TACAGTAATACCTGCTAGACAGAAAAAGTTGCAAAAATATTCTTTGCTCTAACCCATGCTGCTAAGACTGTAATTTTCAAAACTACTTAGCTCACATCCACAGGCTTTCTGAGAGGACTGACACAAAATCTGCAGCTAGGCTGAAGTGCCTGCTGAATTCTCTTTGCTGCTCTTCATCTCCTGAATGACAACCATGATGCAAAGCCCATCACTGTGACAAGATGCTGGTCTTATTTTATGCAATCACCCCATCATTTCCAGCAGTGCTGCTCACAATGCTCTGCCTCCTCCAAGTGCAAAGAAAAGGCACAAGTACAAGAGTCTCTTAGTAAAACATTAATCTCAGATCACAGATTTATTTTATGGATTTGCAACACAGCCCATATTACAAACATTGTCTGGGAACATTTACAAGAATAAATAAGATGGACTCGCAGTTGTAAAAAAAAGATTACACTTCACTGTAATGTACAGTCAAAAAATATATCTGATATTCATTGACTTGACATTATTTACCTTCCTTCTTTTAAGCTAGAAAGAAAAGACACTGAATGCACAGTGTTGAGAGTTTTGTATTTATATTTTTTTCCTTTTTTTTTTTTTTTTTTTTTTTTTTAAGTTTTTTTTTTTTTTTTTTTTTTTTTTTTTTCCGTACGTGCTTTATCTATCAAACATCCAAACTGTACAAGTGAGTTTCACCAGTAATCCATAAAGGCCGAGGGGAGCAGAGGGGCGGCATGGCGACAGCAGAGACTCTCATGCAGCAACTCCTCCCTGCCCAAAAACACACCCAGGGGGCTGCACAGGCACACTGCTCAGCCACAGCACCGCCCTGGCGACTGGTGACACGTCTGGCAAGAAGGTGATGCTGCCACGTTCTGATTCCGACAGGGTCTGTGCGGGGAGGGAGGAGATTAAATCCGTGTGGGAGTGAATTTTGTCACTGCGGTTAGTCGGGATGGGGTAAGGATGTGTTAAGGATGCAGCTCAAACTTTTGGCATAGAAGTACAGTGTTGAAATGCTGGCAGTGCAAGAAAGGGCAAGAGGGGCGATGAGGGGGCAATTCCAGTTCTGCTCCAGGTACGTGGATATCCAGCACGTGGAGTTTGGTTTGACTGTCAGCAATGTGAAAAACTGACCAGTGTTTAGCCTGGGGAGTCTCAGGGTACCTAAATTCATGACAGCTTGTAAAATGCTAACCCTTCTTCCTCTTTCATCCCCCTAAAACACACTCCTTTCCATTATTTCACAAAAAGAAGATTTCCTGGAGGTCCTCACTGAAAGATGATGTACTCACACAAGGAGATCCATCTCCACAGTGCAGCACACTTGAGGTGTCTCACAGGGTGTCCCAAAGAGTGGCATTCAGGGTAGCAGATCCCCACTGAAACACTCCTTCTGTGACAACTGCCTCCACTGAAGGAACCACTACACTCTGGGTACCTATATATGAAATATCAGGGTTGGTCCCTAAGGGGCATCAACAGCATCTTCCCCCTGTACCTCCAGAGTGGCTCATGTTTATACTGCTCAGAAACAGCTCATTGAATTGAATTCCAAGAAAAGCCATTTTAGCTTGTTCTTTTCCCTTTTCATCTTTTTTTTTTTTTCCCCCTGCCAGGACACACTATGGGAACACCAGCATCTGGCATTCAGTCTGCTGCATTAGTTTGTCTTTTAAGGCTCAGGTTGAAAACAGAATAGTGGTGGAAAATCTGCTGCATGAACTGGGATGGGGATGGAAAGACTAATTTAGATCCCTCATGTTTTTACAAACTGGAAAAGCTGCCAGGTTTTCACATTCTGCTAGTCCAACATTAAACTGTAGGATATTCTGAGCATAGTTTATTTTTTTTTTCACAAGGGAAACTTTTAAAATATTTTAACACAGCAAAGAAAGATTATAGACTAGAGGTCACTGGAAGTCAGCAAGTTTTTGTCTTTTTTTTTTTTTTTTTCTTTCCATCACACTCCGTACCACCAGGATTTAGTCTTGGTATATGAAAATGTATGATTCTGCTTGACAGTTTGAGCAAATTGTACATTCTTCAAATATGCATATGAGGGAGATGATTGATACCTTTTCCAAGTCAATGAACAGATAACACATGATGGATTTTCCTCGTGGTCCTTGCCAAAACGGCAGAAATTGGGCTTTGCTTGCTATGCTGCTGGCTCACCCTCAGGAAAAAAGAGCCGTAGGTATTTTTGGGAACAGGGAAAGAAAGAGCACTTGCATTGAAGTTGTGTATTATATATGTATGGCTATAGAAGACTGCAATCTAAATAAGCAGGAGCACAGGAGGGTTAACAGAATCCTCATCACTCACATCTGTCTCTGACTTAGCTGGCTCCTCCTGTTCCTCTGTCCGGGCAGGGCAGCTGCAGTGCTCTGTTCTGCCCTCACTCAGCAGGAATATGGAATTTTTGACCCAATGGCAGTGGTTATGCTGAATAAATGTTGCCACTTTTGCCACATGGCCCCCTTTATTTTCCTAAAAAAAAATGGGGTTGAATGTCTTTTGTACACTTAAGATAAATTAAATATTCTCAAATGAAAATGCAGCAGTTTCACACCAAAGTCTTGAGATGCCCATTGCTGGAGTGATCACAAAAATTAACTGTGCTGCCAACGTCATGGAGTTGGTTGTTCACATTTATTACAGGACAATGAAGTTTTCCAAGGGGAACTTTTCCACTGCATTGCACATCAAGGACCATTCCAGGACTGTGCACTGCTCTGTGATGACTTTAGTAAAAATTCTGCAAGTGTGAAAGATAGAAGCACCTCATATTTGAAGATTTCTCTCTCAAGCAAATCTTTTATCTTTGTCCCTCAGGATTTATTCCCTCTGTCACACTCCGAGTGCTCCATCTCCACAGCACAGAATGTGGCATTACCTGTTTTTTATGATCTCGGCAGGAACTCAGAAGAGTAAGAGAGAGATGAGAGCAGCTGTGCAAGAGGGAGAGAGAGAGCAAGGTGCAAATTTCCTACCTGATTCAGGATCCATTTCATCTGCCTTCTCCTCCAATGTTTGGTTTCTCCCAAAGGAGATTTCTCCTCCTTTCCTTCTCTTCCAGATGGAAATTCTTCAGGAGTTTAACTGCCTCCTGAACCACCTGCTGCAGGAGCCTCTCCTTCCTCTCACTCCACAGCACCCCAAGAGCAGTGGCCAGCAATCTCTGGCTTGAGATTTCCAAAGGAAAATCCCACAAACTACTGATAAAGGGCCAGTGCAAAGTAAATGGAAAAGCCAGTCCAGCATCCACAGGCTTAAAGCTACTACTGTGGGGTCTGTGTGGCTACTGGACTTTATTCTGGAGTTTACAGCTCCAGAATAAAAAGCTAGAAACTATTGATAAACAGTAGAATTCATTGCTGTAATTACATCCATTAATAATTTAAGATGTTGGTTACCCCCTATATGAAATAGTGACCCCCAACCACCTGTTTCTACTTCCTTGCATTTCAGACCAAACTCTACACCGAGTCTGTGCTATCACAAACAGCTCCCCATCACCTCTGAAGGATGTCTCCATGGGAATAAGTTCATCTTCATTATGTCCATTCAAATATTCTCAGTATGATAGTTTTTCCAGCCTAAAATTCAAACACTGAGGATTTTACCTTTTTTTACTGCACATTATCACTTTTCATCCACAGCAGGGAATGTTTAGGCTGAAAAGCTCACTATTAATCCTTCTAGGAGTGAGAAAACCTCCTTTATCTCATCTCATGGTTTCTTTCTTTCCCCATGAAAACAAACCCATCACCCATAATCTCGCTTCAAACACATTACCTACTTCACTATGGGCTTTTCTCTAGGGTTTCAACAACCTCAAGGTAATAAAGTGATTTAAAGTGAGCTTTTCCACACAATTCCCTTCATCATTAATTCACACTTGGCATATATGCACTGTGCAAGGAGGAACAGCATGAAGATCCCTGAGCCAACACAGACTGGAGTTGGGTCAGTCTCCTAAAAGCACCATAACTGCAGGAATTTATAACAGTTTGGCAACACAATCTGCAGTGTCTGCTGAGCATCTTTCCATATGGGTTTTGGGCTGGACATTAGGAAGTTCAGACACATGGTTAAGTGGCTACATAATAAGCTGTGACTAACAGTTGGGCTGTGGTAACCAATATTTGCATTGAACTCCTATAAAATGTAAATTTTAGCTTAAATATCTTCCCCTGCAGGTTGAGCCAACATCACTTGGCATTTGCAGAGGGCTGAGGACACAGTGAGTTGCTGTGGGCCAGCTGATACGGGTACCTGACCCTTTAGCAGTGTTTTTCATATCACAGAACACATCCAAACCCACCTCCAGACCCTAAACCCCTGCACTGCCAGCTCTGCTCTGCTCATCCCACACCTCCCTCCCCTCCTGTGGGCTTAACCCTGCCATTTCAATCCACTGTCTTTTAAGTTAAGCCTAAATTACCTCCTACTCTTCACACCTCAGTGATCCTGGCATTCCTTTACCTCTCTGTTCCTTTAGCCCAGCTGTCACGAGGGAGACCTGCCACTGTGCTACTTTCCAGGTAAAATTAACAGAATGCTAAATACTAATTAACACTCATTCATATTTCCATTGTATCCACAGGGAGTGGTTCCCTTTGGCTTTCTGGAGTCAGCAGAGTCAAAAATGTTTTGCTGACTTGGAGCTTCTTCATACCTGTGCAGTTGTTGAAAAATCCCATCCAGGGATTAGAATTCCTTCTTCCCTTTTCTCTGCCAGCACCTGACCTACACTGTTCCATCCAGCCACCTGTAATCAAAACACCACTATTATACTTTTCCTATCACTTTTATCTCATAGTTTCACTTTGCCTTATAGTTATTTTTCTTCCCCTGCTGAATGTTGTTGTTCAGTTGCAAAAAGAAAAAAACCCAATTCAGACCAGTAGCCTGTCCCTTGAGATGCCAGACACCCACCAACAGCCCCAAATGGAAATAAAGTTGATTTCATGATTTTTTTTGCAGGCAACCAACCAGAAACAGCACAGAGGCTCCAGTGAGAAGGTGGTTCAGGATCAGTTAAGACCTTCATGATATTAAAGGCAAGAATCCAAAGCTCCTTAGAAAAACCCCAGGTGGTTCAGCATCCTTTGCTTATCAAGAGGGGTACTGAGGAAACACTAAACATCCTTCCCTGGGCTGGTGCAGGTCCTGGTGCATGACAATGGTTTGGTGTGTCTGAGTCTAGAGCTGCTTTTGCCAGATTTCATTTCCATCCCTCCTGGTCAAGGTGAGGGTGTGACTATTGAAGAAAGAATGACCATGAAGCAGAGGTGCCTTTTGAATTCATAGACGGAATTAGCAAAGCATTCTGAACATCTGGAATGCTCTGTGCTAGGCATGGGCAGCACCGAGCTCCCAGCAGCCTCTGACGATTTACCTGAGGGTGGAAAACTACAGGGTGATAAGAAAGTTGGAGTTTCCTTCAACTCTTACCTTCAGTCTATCTTTTAGCAAGTCTGAATTTGAAGAATCTTACACCCCAGCATCTAATTTACACACACAGCAACCTCATATCCCACACCCTCAAGATAAATAAATGGCTAAATTGAAATACTAATTATTGTAAAGTCTTGTTCATTCAATTATTTCTCCCCCAAGATTACCCTGCAGACCTTGGTGATTAACTACTTAAACATACTTTTTCAGAAAAGCAATTTCTTAGCTGCTAAGAAGTCAGAATGAGATCCAGAACCGTGGCAAAACACATCTGGTGTTTGTTTTAGAGAAGGAGACTTGCACAGGCATTTTTGCAGAATAAAACAAAAGCTATTTTGCTTAAGAAGAGAAGTTGCTGTGCTGGGCTAACACTTCTCTTTACAGGTGTCAGAACAGGTTTCTGTGTACGTACATCACCTTTCCTACAGCTCCAATGGGTTACAATTTTGAAGCTTGTAGGGCCTGGAAATAGTGAGGAAATCTTGCCCAAACCAAGTTTTAAGAACCTTCAGACATTAAATTCTTGAGCAGAAAGTTTCTTTGCTGTTTGCTTGCACAGTGCCTAGTTCAGCAGGGTCCTGGCATGACTAGGGGTCCTAAGTTCTACAGCAATACAAATAATAAATAAAAAATATTCATACCTAGTATATGAGCAATAATACCTACTTCACACCCTGTTTGTCAAGGACACACTGCACCCCAGCTAGTACTTGGGAAATGTGGTAACCAAGTTACTGAAGTTGTGAGACAAATGCCATTTGTTTGATGCAAATATTTAACCTTCAGGTTCAGGTGGCTGGGAAACTCCTCAACAGCTTCACCAGCAGCTAAAGGACACAGACCAGAGGGGTGGAACTGGGTCATGCACAGCCCTGGACGTTGAGCAGAAACTGGGAGGAAATACTTGTGTGGAGGCAGTGAATCCATGAACAGCTTCTCATCTCCACCATCTATTTTCATGCTTAAAGGGACTACATTTGGGGAGAGAATTCCAGCGTAGGTTTTTTTTTTTTTTTTTTTTTCCTTTTTTCTTTGTGTGTGTGTGTGTTGGCCTTTTCATTTGGAAAAACAAATAAAAGGAAACAGATAAGGTAGACAAATTGTAATGAAACATTTCATGTATCCCCTATGGCTATCTCATTTTTCCCAAATGACTGCTGCATGAAATTAAAAAATTAAAAGGCTGGGATTTGAGAACAAAATTATAAATTAAAAAGGAGACATTTAAAAGAGAATTTCCTAAGGGTTTCATTCCTTCCCCACTCTGCAGCAAGCAGAACAAAAACACAATCCAAAAGAGGAGAGAAGTCAGAGGGGATTAGAAAGTCCAGTCTTTCAGCCTGTCTCCCATTTTGCTAATTTTTACAGTAAGTTATTTAAGAAGCAGTAGATGTTCCAATAGAAAGCAGGCAGCAGCACACACAGGCATCATCTCCTCCTTCCAGCGAGGTCTCTGCAACCTCAGTCTCTTGCTGAGAAGGAAGGAGAAGTTTTTCTTCCCACACTTGTTACTGCCTTCCAGTGTGGGACAGGGGAGAAGCATCCGCCAGAGCTCGGGGTCTGGCACATCGTGGGGTCCCCTCCCTCTGCTGGGCTAAAAGGAACTCAAGTATTCCAGTGCAACCTCGTATACAAATTTATACTGTTCCTGAAAGAGAGGACACAAAGGAATGGCATTAGGAGATGGGAAAATTCCTCGGAGTTTCATTCTACAAGCAAAAAATACCTCCTCCCTCTTTCTTATAGGCTTTGGCAGGAGCAGGCAAACACTGGTCGTGTTTCTGAGTGATCCTGAGCAAGCATGGCTGGGAGATGGTGCTGTCAGTGGAAGAGAAAAGCACTCAAAGAGAGAGCCTCAGTCTGGACTATTCATTATTTGCCTCCAGCCCTCACTGCATGTGCTGCTTTTGAGGCACGAACTCAGTGTGATGGATGGAGATGACTGAATTCAGGACAGTTTAATCTCCTGGGCTGCAAGGAGCCAGGCCTGGGGGCTGGACTGTTCTCCCTTCCTGTTTTCAAAACATGTCACAGCACTGGGCTGGACAGGAGGACAAATCCCTGCATGGACAGAAGGACAAATCCCACTCTTCCCACAGCCATGGTGGCAGCTCTGTGGGGTTTGACCTCCTGAGGCAGCTGGGCATGGGACACAGGGTCCATCTCTGCCAGGGCATCTCTTCAAACAGAGAAGCAGGAAAATTCACTGAACGTGCAAAACAAGACCAGTTTTAATTCTGCTGTCTTCATCTTCCCATTCATTTTGATTCATCCTGAACCAAGCCATTTTGACATCTATCCTGAAGTCCCCAGCACACACTGGGAGGGGAATGAGCAGTAAAAAGCCTTACCAGTGACTCCACCATGTTGGACTTGTTATTCCGTAGCGTTTTCACTATGTGGAACACATCGATGATGTTCTGCTGTTGGATCATTTCACACACACTGCAGATGGCACAGAAGGTGCCACTGCGTCCTCCACCGTTCCTGGGAGCAGGAAGGAGAGAACAGGTGAAGGTGGAGCTGGTGAGGCTGAGGGAAGGACAGCACACACAGCTCACAGCCCATGGACTCTGATGTAAAGGCTGCTCATGGATTTTGAAGACTTTGTTTGCCTAAAAGAGCTCCAGGAGAGCTGGAAGGGGGCTTTGGACAAGGGATGGAGTGACAGGACAAGGGGGAATGGCTTCCCACTGCCAGAGGGCAGGGATGGATGGGATATTGGGAAGGAATTCCTCCCTGTGATGGTGCTGAGGCCCTGGCACAGGGTGCTCAGAGCAGCTGTGGCTGCCCCTGGATCTCTGGATGTGTCCAAGGCCAGGCTGGACACTGGGGCTTGGAGCAGCCTGGGACAGAGGAACATGTCCACCAGAACTGAGTGGGGTTTCCAAACCATTCTGTGAGTCTGTCAAAGTGGAGACCTGTAGAACAGGGGCAGGGGTGGAAGGGCTCAGGGATTCCTGGAGTGGGGGACAGGGAAGCTCGGAGTGCAGTGCTGCAGATCCCTGCTCTGGGCTCACAGCAGCTCTGTGCTCAGAGCTGGGCACATGGCAGGGCTGCTTCAGCTCTGTCTGGGCTCCAGTCACGAGCCCTACAATGTACCAGGGCTCTTGGAGCTATTTCTCACTGCAATCACTGAAATCCCTGGGCCAGGATACTATAATGCAGCACAATATTAAACTTAAAGTGTATTATAAATGTACTTTAACTCTATTTTCCCCAGCTGAAGCCTGGTAAAACCACCAGATTTGCAGATCCAGTTGTCTTCACACATCACCACGTGAGGCTGCAGACATTTCCCAGCCCTACTTACAGGCAGTGGACCACAGTGCGCCCGTCTCTGCCATCGTACTGCTCCTGCCACTTCTCCAGCCTCCTGACCACCTTCAGCAGCGAGCGTTTGGAGGGAGGGGTGTCCCTGTAGGCGGGCCAGCCGATGTACTGCAGGTGCTGCACGATGCGATAGCC